CCTGTAAGGAGGCACTGAGGCCTGTACTTGGGCTCCAGGCTGGGCACGGGGCAGCAGAGCGCTGCTGTCACTTCACACTCAGCTCCACATTTATATTTCATGAGAATAATATTTGACAAATGCCCTTATTCCTAGGGGTAAAAAAAAAATCCATTTTCCACTACCAGTAGTTTAGGTTTTCTTTTTTAGAGAAAAGAAACAGAATACAGCTTAATTTTGTTGTTTTTGATGAAAATGGGAACACGAACTGACCAAAAATAGAAATGCTGCAGAGTTTCCAGCTTCTCATGCCCAGGATGAATAAAACACACTAGGCGAACAAAAAGAATTAACCGTGGCAAGATAAATGCCACAGTTGTAAATGTCCTTGCCATTTTGTTTCCAAGTCCTATTAGAAGCAGAGGTAAGGAAATCCATTTGTTTAAAAAATATGATTTTTGAAATGACCACAATGTTCCTTTTAAACTGCATTGAAAATACAAGATAAAGACAGGGTACTGAGTGAAAGAGTGCTGATGGCGCTTTTATTGTGTGATTTGCCTTGTTTTTTTCTGAAGTACTTCTTTTTAGCCGATTACCATGTATTTACAGTTGGTGTAATTATATCTAATTACTTAATTAGCATGAATACATGTAATTACTAACTTCAAATATGTAATTATGTCAGGGCAGCCTGTAATAAATGAGGTTGAAAAAAACCCTCATTAGGACTCTACGGAAGGACGGCTGCTCCACCCGCGTGGAGGATGCGTCGCGGTCCCGAGACCACGCCAGGAGGAAACTTAGCCCTGCAGGAGGAGAGCAGGGGCAGCATCTGCCAGCGACCCCTACCCAAAACCAAGCCCCTTGCCCCAGGAGCAGAGCTTCTCAGCGCCGGTGGGAGCTGAGCATCATCCCTGTGATGCAGAAAGGGATCTAGAAGGGATCTGCCACCCAGGTTTGTTTCCTCCACTGAGATTTGGATTTTTTTTTGCTGATGCCTGGTGTTCTCCAGGAGACCTGGTTTGTCTGGCAAGAAATACCAGGGAGCAGAACAACTGCTTGACTGTGCCATGGCATTTGAGTATGGCTTAAGAGAGCAGATCCAGGAACAAATCTGCATCTGATGCACTGTGCTGGTAATTAATTACTACTGTTAAAGTAAAACAAGCCTCCCAAATGTTTCTTCAGAAACATTACCAGTCTTTCACCACAAAGATCTCCAGCTACTCATAATTACCCATTTTGCAAATTCAAATCCTGAACATCAGGAGATGGAGCTAAGCTAAACAGCCCCTGCTTACTGCCAAGAAGCACATCTATGACGATGTTCTACCTACAGCTTGAAGGCCACCTCATGAACTTATTTCAGGCCAATGCTCCCTTCTTTTTTTCCACTGACCAGGAGTTATTTGTTGTACTGAGCTGACATTTCCTGCCCACAAGGACCGATAGCCATTTTCTGGACACAAATGTGGGTAGACTGGATCTTACTTTGTATTACCAAGCCCCCTGACCTCATGACAGAATGCAGAACCACACAGCTCCATCTCCTCATCAGATGTTGTGTCTACAGTGCTTGCCTTACAACAGGCCCTGTTCTTCTCCTCTCATCTGTTTATTTCCAAATGTAGAGAGGTGCAAACTCCTCACAACCTGTCGCTTCTCCTGACGGCATCTGCCAAGTAGACGTGCCACTTGGTTGTTCTTCCACGTGCCAAAGAACAGGAGGAAAAGTCTATTTTAGGTTATTCTTCCACAACTGTTTTGTGGTTGTTCTGTCCTCGTTGTCAGTCCTCGTTGCCCAACTTTCCAGGTGGTGCTGAGGATGGCTGAAATGAGGACTGGCTGCAAACCCTAGTGCTGCCCAGAATGTCTTGGAGTTAATGTGTAAAGATCGGGGAGCATCTTCTCAAAGAGTGATGTTTTATCATGAGAAAACGGGATGATGCAGCTTCTTCCATGGCTCAGTCTGGAAGGGAGGAGGACGCTGAGCCCAGCTCATCCCTCCTGCTCCTCTAAATCAGAAAGACACGAATTTGTGTGAAGCCCAGGAAGTGAGAGGTGGCTCCAGCACCCTTCATCCCTTCTTCTCTTCCCAGCACCTTCTTCTCCTCCCAGAGGACACGTTAGCTGGTGAGGAGCCCACGGGACAGCCTCGCACAGCGGGATCAAGAGGGGCTGCAGCTCTGTGGGCAGGGAGCTGCTCGCCATATTTCAGCTGCAATTCCATTATGCAGAGCTAAGTGGCTGGGAATAAACATCCGTCATCCCTGCGTGATAAGCGATGTTTGCTAGTATAGAGGGTGACAGAAATCTATATCACATCAATGTACTATTAATACTGCATTAAGCATATAGAGTTCGCTCTCCTCATTGCAGTGCGGTAATGGGTATCGGCATGTCCTCCACCCAGACAACATCCAAGAGCACAGGGACACTTGCAGGAGGAAGGAAGGAGAAAAGCTGAGCGATGGAAGGAGAAATCGCTTGCTGAGGATGTTTTTCTCTATTAACACTTCTGCGCAAAGGAGAGGCTGGGTGCCACGGAGCTTCTTCGCTTGAGGACGCTGCAGCCTTGCAGATGGGCTGAGGCTCAGCAGGTGACAGGAGGGAGGTGACTCCTTGCATCATTTTGGGCTCAGCTGGACACCAAGGCCCTCCCTGGGCCAGAGGAGCTCTCCTCTCTCCAAGTGGCACCAGAAATGAAGAAATGTTTGTGTCCAAGTTCTGCACAGGGGGAAAGAAATACCCTCCAGCGAGAAAACCATGGGGAGAATGGGAGCAACAAATACTCTCCAGCTCAGGTTTAAGTTGAGCAGAACACATCAGATCAAACAAAACCCTTACAGCTAAAGCTCCCCAAAGCACACTTAATTTAAAAGGTGAATTACGAAACTTTCCAGCCTCAAGCAAAGCCACCAGTAAAGTCAGAAGTTTTGTCCAAGTGAAGTCTTAGGGACTAAAATACAACACACACCAAATTCAACTCTGCCTGAGGTCTCCAAGCCTGCTTTTTTGCCCTGTGAATGGCAAGAAATTCCAAAAAACACAAGAGTTTCCAGCCTGCCAGCATCCAGCTGTGATCTGCCTCTTGTTAGCACCCAAATGTAGCACCTGGGTGGGGAATTTGGCTCCATCAGCGCTGCCTCACAGCCCCAGGAAAGCTGGAACACAGAAGCGAGCAATTTGTCGTGGATTTCCAGGGTGTGCACAGTTATTGTTATCGCTGCATTTTCCCCCTGTGGCACCTTCCACAGGAGAAAAGGCTCTGGGTGCCCCTCAAGGCACACTTTGAGATCCACAGATCCTAATCAAACAGCCCTGTAAAACTCCAAGGCCAAATCCTGCTGCAAGCAGCTTCCCCTTCAACCCGTCCCAATCTGACAAGCCCCACAGGGCAAATGCTCAGGGCAAAACTCAGTCCTCTGGGTCTTAAGCTTGGCAGCTGCACCCTTGCAACAGCACTCACATACTGAAACAGTTGCACAGAAAACGATCTGAGAGATAGCACAGAAAGAGAAGAAAAAAACATGGGGGGAACCCCTCCCTCCCCAAGCAATCAGGGTTTGTAAATCATTTTGAGATGAGGTGCTATAAGCAATATATAATGTATAATTAACGGCACAGCAAAACCACGCTACCTTCAGCTTCTCCGCTCCTGCCTAATCAGCGCCCTCCTCCCCCTTCTCTGCAAACAGACCAAATTTAGTGCATTAACATGAAAATCAGAGGGAAAGCCGGGCGCGTTAATTGGATACACCCCTTTGCTCTGGCGATGGAAGAGCTGTGATAACTCACGGCGCCCGAGGGGTCTGCCCCAGGAACCCCCCCACGGAGCAGAAAGCTGCGGGTCTCTCTCCTCGGGCAGGAGGAGCGATGCCAGCAGAGGGTTTTATGCTGGCTGAGCTCCTGCAGGTTGGGAGCTTGGCCTCCTCCCAGCGCTCCAGCTTCCAGAGGCTGAGTTATGCTTCCTGCGCTCGTGAGTCAGCAAAGGGGAGAGAGCAGGAGGCGACTTCGGTGCGGCACTCCTTGCTGCTGGGCTGGGCCATGGGAGATGGGACAAGTTTGGTTTTTCCGTCCTTCCTTTTTTTTTTTTTTTTTTTTGCAAGCTTTAATTTATTTGCTATTAGATCCGGTTCTGCCCGGAACCAAAGAACGCCAAAGGGATGAGCAATAACAACGGAGGAACATCGCCTGGACCTCCTGCATTGCTCAGCCTGCATCTCAGAGCTGGTAAAGAGCAGAGGAAAACTGAGCTGCCAGCTGTGAGCTGCGTGTTGGGGGGGGGGCTGCACCTCCCAGCCCACACGAGAAGCAGTGGGGAACTCCCAGCAAAACATCCTTTTACCCATTGCTTGTCTTTCACGCTCAGAATTTAGGAGCACAAAACGGAGGACCACTTTACCACCACCTGCTATCCTAATGAGCCGAGCTCACAACCCAGATTTACACCGAGAAGCTGCGAAAGCTTTAGAGAAGCCCATGAAAACAAGACAGCCAGCATCTAAGCCTCCTGTTCTCCACGCACCTGCCCCATCTATGGCCACGTGTCCTGAGCTCATCCTCGGCCCGGCGGGGAGCCAAGGAGGCAGCCCCGCGGCTGGGAAGCTGCTGGAGGAGGAAGGGGAGGCAGGTCCTTTTCCCCGGCCAGGCAGCGGGTCACCTCCGTCCCCGCAGCTCCTGCTCGTGCCTCGGACCCAACAAGGCAGAGCCTGGCTTCAAATGGCGTTTTTCAGGCAAAGGGGGGAAGGTGACTGGTGGGTGGCGGAGGGAGGGTGAAGGGAGGTGAAGGTGAGGGTGGAAAGTCTCCTTGGGAAGAACCTACATGTATGTTGTGATTTCTGAGACCTGAGATTCGCTTTGGTTTCTGGACCATACCAAGACCCATTCTCCTCAAAAAAAAATATATCCTTCTCTCCTTCCTCATCCTCTTAGCCTCTTCCTCCTCGCCCTCCTTCCCCCGTCCCCCCACCCGTCCCCTGTTTTTTGCGTGGGCTCCAGCCGTCTCGGGCACTCACACGTGTCTGGCTTGTGGCAGTTGTGACCTTGTCGGAAGTACTGGGGGTTCTCGATGACAGGAATGCGGGTCATGCCGATCACCACTGTGTCCGGGCCAGCATCCAGGGACGAGGGCGTCGTGATGCCGTGGTTGATGTGGTGGAGGGGACTGGCCGAATCCTCCTCGCCGCTGATCACTGCCACGGGACCTGCGAACACCAGACACATCCATCAGGCACGGCAGAGGAAAGGAGACCTAAAAGTCCTGTCGACCACATACTCATGTGCTAGGGGTCAGCAGCAGACTCTCACCAGCCTGCCTTACCATCCCTGGCCCCATCTCCAGGACCAGTTTCTCTGAACAACTCACAAGGAAGACACCAAGTTTTTTCTGCTGATTACAGGGTACCAGATTGAGCAGATCTTGCTCAGCTCGTGCTGTGTTCTGCCACAAAAATCAACATCTCCCCTCACCCTTTCCAGCTCTGAAAGGCTGAGCACCAACAGACAGGTTAGGAAACAGCCAAAACAGTCAGACCCCTGAGATGGGAGGAGCAGGAGTCTCCCAACCCCAGCATGATATGGAGAAAGCAGTGCCAGAGCTGCACCCCAGCCAAATGCTGCCCTCCCAGGCTGGTCTGCAAGCCCCATAGCACCAATTCCACATCCTCATATCCCTCTTCATTTCAAGTCCTAAGACAGCAGTAGGCCCAAATGCACCCAGAACAACCTAAGATGGCCAAACCAGACTGCTCCATCCCCGCCAGCTTTCCGACCCAGCCATGGCTCCTCACACCTAAGCACCTGCACCCAAGAGCATCACTGCTCTAATCCTGCCCTAGCCAGGGGCAGGCTTGTTCCCAAAGGTAAAATCCACGAAGGAAAGAACTTCCATAACTGAGAGCCAGTGCCTGCCTCTCAGACAGACCTATTTCACGATACTCAGCTATTCCTGAATTTTAGGTGTATGCTTTGTTTTATTTTTAGGCCTTCTAATTTTGCTATCAGCTGCCAAGGCTGGAAAAACCTCAGGGGAAAACAGCCCTTAATATATTATTCCCAAATTCCTTCTATTCTCACACATCCCAGGGGCCCGACCTGCCAGCCCACAGCAGCTCCACAAAAACACCTTCATCCCGAGATGAAACCCTTTAATTCCTGCTTCATTTATTGGTGCTACATAAACATGGGATCCCGAGGAGTGGACGCTAGAGACCACACTGCAACCAGGCTTACATATTCACGGGAGGTTAAAAGCACTCAGCTAGAGATGTTCCTTTTCTCTTGCCTGGAAGCTGCTAGGGACTACCAGCAGGTCAAGCAAAGGTGCTGCGTTGAGCCTTCAGACCTATTCAGGCCTTTTACCTAAGTTCTATAGAAAACACCACTCTCCCATCAGCAATCTATTTCTAATTACACAATTACTTTATTATGCAGCGCTAGCAACAAAGAGGGGAGTCTTCAAGCCATTTTCCTCTCCGGAGTCTCTGGGAGGACAGGGTGAATACTGGCTCCGCGCAATCATTCTGCCTGCATTAATCTCGTCTAAAGGCTGCTCGTTTTTGAGGCATCAAGCATTGTTTGGTCTTCCAAGTGGGATATAATAAAGTTATTGTGTAATTAGCAGAGTCCTGGCAGCTGTGACAGGTGTTTTAGTCGCAAGGAAAAAAAAAAAAAAAAAAGTCTCTCCCTTTATTGTGAATTCCTTCTGGCAGGTTCTTGCTTTTTTTAGGTTAGGCCCTGGGCCAACGTGACTTCCAGCCTGTGAGACGCACAGACAAAACTCGGCTCTTGCCGCAAGATGCCTCTGGTGGGACTACGTAGGCTGTATTTCTCCAAGCACAAAAAGCAAAGAGGCAAGAATTGCAATTTGAAGTTTTGTTCCTTCACATTATCAATTCTTTGCGTGCGGACCCAAAGGACTGGTTCTGCATGCTCTGCACCACCGGCTGGGCTGTGCTGGGAAGGGGCCACCTCTGCTTTTTGAGGTGCACTTCCCAAAAACAACTCATAAAAATATCTGCTGGATATAAACTGGTAACACTGACTTGAGGAGAGACCATAAAGGCCACTAAATACCCCAGATGACGGAAGCATTCCTCTGGTACGTGCAGGTTAGGACATGGCTACGTCCTAAGGAGTAGGGCATGACCGAGGTACTTGTGAAATTAAGCATCGCCAGCAGCTACTACTCCCTGATGTTCATATGGCAACTTTCATGCCAATAAACAGATCCAGTCTGATCCTCTTTATACTCTGCAGGTGTTTTTGTTTGGTTTTATTTTTTTTTCTCCCAGCAGCTCAGTTCTTCGGGGGAAGGCTTTCTATATGTTTTATCCCTGGTTTCAGACCCCATATTTGCACTCCCAGTCCCTAGCAAATATCAGGTACTCTGAAGTGACTCAACCAAAATCAGCAGTGCCCAGCTTGGACATCTACAAGACCTACCAATCCTCAAAAGCCTCAGAGCCAAGCTCTGATACTCCGTGACCCTCTCAGCCGGAAAAAGTGGGAAAACAAGCAGTTGCAGTCAGGACACCACGTGGCTATGAAACCACACACGTTATGCCCTTGCAATAATCTATGAAGGTCTTGGAAGAAAAAATCCTGAGTCCTAAGGAACATACCATGATGGATGCAATGCACCAGATTTCAAGATTCCAGAAACACTTCTGGTCACAGTAGGCACAGAGCTGGCACAAACCATTTGGGCAATTCCTCCCCAATATCCTCAGCAGGATGTCACTGGGTTAAAGACACAACTTAGAGCAGAAGACTTCTCCAAGTTTCCCCTATTTTTAATGAGGGGGGTGATGGGAAGGGCATGGGGGCAGAAATTGGTGCAACATTAACTCCTACAACACAATAATGGCTTCTTATCACATTCAGTCTTTCACTCCCATCTCTTTTGGGTGGTCACGGCTGAGATCCAGCTCTCTCTAAGCACACGGCCACTTTCTTGCCCCTCTGAGACTCAGAGGAGCACCAGGTTTGCTGCACTTGCCTGAGACAGACTTTAAAAACATCACTGATATCGAGCAGTCACTGATCACTTTTATAGGTTTGACTACTGCTCTGGCACTCAAATATATACTGTTATCTGTAACTCCTGGAAATAAAGCAGCTACCTGCACTTCAATTTTTTTAATCTGTCTTGGCAATATCATATATATTTTTGCTGCTAAGTAGGTAAAGAGGTTTTGTTTCTGATGTATAATGCTGATGAATGGCTTTATTTGGAAGAATTCTCACTGGCTTCAGAAGTGGATTTTCCAGGTAAGGTTAAAGAAAAAAAAAATGGAGTAAGAAAAGAGTACAGTTTTTAAGATTTAGGTTTATCTTCCACTTGACAGAGGAATGGCAGAGGATGTAGGAATGAAGCCAGTTTTGTACAGTAAAAAATGCAGAATAGTGAAGGGTAGTCTTGAGGCAAGCCCTTGTATATAGTCCTATGATCTAAAAACACCGTGAAATATTTTTGGAGCTCCTCTGAAATTTAAAATCTAAAGAGTGATGCAATAGATTTTGTGGTGGATAAATCAGTCTGTGCTCCAGACAAACATATTGTGGATAGTGACTATAAAAACTGTCTATTGTTAGTATTTTAAGACGCTTTTGTATGTTCTGAGCATCAAACGTGGCATAGCTGTATTCTGAAAGGCTTTTGATGCCTCCCCTTCCATCCAGGCAGAGATCTTGCCAGCCAGGAGCATCTCCGCAACCTTTAAGGACAGAGTTTAGCTGCTCTCCATGCTAACCACATACAGTTTTCCTGACAGAGAAGCAACATCAGCAGCAACGATGGAGCCACAGAGCTGCAGGAAAAGTCTGGGGAGACCTGAAGGAAAATTCAGGTCTGATTTAATTTCACGTTACCCAAAGAGGAGTGAGGCAGCTTGAAAATGCTGTTCCTATAAACATAATGAAAGACTTCACCATCCTCCCTTCCCTTCCACACACCCTCTCCACAGGCAATTCCTCTTCCCAAGAGCACACCTGCCTTGGACAACATCCATCCCAGCCTTTCCTCCACCCTCTTTTCTCCCCCAGCCTAATCAGCAATGCTCCAGTTCTTTTCCTTGCTCCATCTCCACCTTGGTATCATCATCTCTGCAAACACTGAGAAAATACCCTTCCAGACTGCCCTGAAAGCTCTGCTATTCAGAAAATCTCTCATTCCCTACTCATCACTCTTCCTTGTGGCTAAACTGGAGTTTGGCATGGTGGTTTTGTTCCCATATGAAAGCTCTCTGAAATAGGTTATATGTTTTAGTCCATGCCCGTGAATTTCCTGGCTCATTCACAGTGTTATACGGACAACTAGTTATTTAAGAAAAATAAAGCAAATAATAACAAATAGCTTAAGGACGCCCTGTTTGCATGATCATATCATAACGGTAAATTATTTATCAAGACTAAGAGCTATACTTTCTGATAAAGCACAGGCTCGGGATTATAGCATGTTTTATAAATAACCACAGATTAGAGAAGATAAGATAATGGCCACATCACACACATCCATAACATAATGAATGCTCCAAGGCAGACGGGTGAAGAACAACAAAAACTCCAGCTTGCTATCACAGTAACCTCTCCAAAGCAGCAAAAATGATGGAAGGTGTAGAAAACATGACCTCCAAGGGAAAACTGAAAGAATTATGCTTTGTGTTGAGAGAAGAAGACTAGAGGAACACGTGATAACAGCCTTCAAATATGTAAAAGGTTGCAGCAAAGAGAAATATAATAGCTGTTCTCCATGTCCACTGGGGATAAAACAAGAAATAATAGGTTTAAATTGCACTGAGGGAGATTAGGGTTTGAATGTTTTCTCTAATGCCTGGCAGCACGGATGGCTGAGCATGGGAATAGATAACCCAGGGAAGTTCCAGGGGGGCTCTGCTGGTCGGGAAGGGAAAGGTTAAAGAAACTTCTCTCAAGGACAGTTTAGCTCTTGGGCCTGATTCTGCTCGGAGCTCTACTCACTTTCCATTTGCAACCAGCCTCAGCAAGGAGAGCTTCTCCCTTTTGGATGCTTCCAAAGCAGCTCCAGGCTGGGGCTTCACCTTGCTTCTCTGTAGCAGCTGGAAATCAAGGATGTCTCCATGTTGTTTCACAAAGGACAACTCCATCACACACCTGGCCACGTTCTCAGCACAGGAATGAAGTTTGCTTAAGCAGAAATGAGAAGGCAAGAGCTCAGGGCTGCAGG